AAAAAAAAAAAAAAGGAAAACTTACTAACAAATTTGTCTCTTTATTACAGGTTTTTTCAACGTTCGTCATCGTAATCTGTTTTGTTGGGTTGTTTTTTGCGATGAAATCAGTTGCTGTTGCTATTTTATTACTGCTACCCTTAGTGACAAGTTGGTTACAGTAAAAAAAAATTTTTTGATGTTTTGTTTTCTTCCTTCTGCTATATTCAGTTTAAACCTTGTCATGTTTCACTGTTGTCAATAGAAAATGAATCATGCTTTATGATGAAAAATTTAAACATTTTAAAGCTATCATTTTTTCTTTTTTTTTCGTCTATTTGATCATTGTTTGAGTCAACAGGTTTTTTTTTCCTGCTAAATTAATCATCTGAGACTTAAAATTAAAAAACAGCAAGAATAAAAAGGTTTTTTTTTTAGATGCTGCTGAAAGGTGTTTTTCTGGTAGCAATAGTCGTTTCGTTAGTAAACTCTGCTCAAGTGGTGGCGTTCGGAGCTACAACTTTGTATGCCAAAAATTCGTCTGTGAAGGAGGCCGATGTCTGTTTAACATTTTGATTTTTCAACAGTTTCTTTTTTTTTTTTTTTACTCAGAATTGGCTTAAAACTTTTTTCCTTCTTTAAGATTGTTTTTATTTTAGTGCAAAAGATTTTGAACTTAATAAACAAAACAGTTAATCAATGCAGATCTTTTTTCAAGGTTATTCGATTGTCGGATAATTAATATTCATCCTCTTTTTTCTCCTCAAAATAAACACACCTAAAAATTGAGAAGCTGGCTAAAAAACGCACCTCTATTGTTTCGTAAAGGTATTCTCTACATCTAAGCAAGGTACGAACTGATTGATAGCGGACTAATTCTGTATTTTGAAGACTGTGGTCAAAAGTTTATAAGAAGAATTTTCAGATTACATTCAGTTTTGGATCAGGCTGTAAACTGTGAACATTTTAAATTACTGATTTTTAGAACTGGGAATCTGTGGTTAATTAAAAAAGAAACAAGCTGCAAGTGTCATTCTTTAGTACTCAGTTTTGACCTATTGATAGCTGAATTATAAACTTTTGTACACATATCATAAGTTGGAAGCTAATCTTGTTGACAGTTAACTGCCTTTATACTGTTGATACCATACCAACTTTGCTTGATAATCTGGTTGAATTTCTGAAAGCAGTGATAATTTCTATAACGCAGCTGTATCAGAAAGTTTAGACCACTTTAGATGAAGGTCATGCTCAAAAAACATGGCACATCGTTTGCACCCGATCTGTTGTAAAAATGATACATTTCTTGATACCTCTATAAAAGTTATCTGAAAAAATCGTATCGATAGGCGACAAACCACTGAACAACAGATATTTTTTTTTTTTTTGAAGATATAGCCAAATGTAAATTTTTTGAAGCAC